CCTGAGACGCACCGGCCCGACACACCGTCGCGTCGCGTCGCGGTCGAGTCGCGCGTGCGAACGCATATTTGCATGCGCTCCGATGACTGTGTCCTGTGCGCGACAATGATACATGCGTATCATCGTACGACGATTAAAGCGGCGCGTGCCGCGAGGGGGAAATTGATTCGTCGCGCGCTGATGTTGCAGCAACTCGGTCGGAATTTCGTAATAAACGCGCCTCGTAAATCCCGAAACGTCCCTTGAAAGAGATCGCCTGGAACGACACGCGCGCATTTTTGTAAATTTTCCCGTTAATAATTAATCGCGCCTTCGTGGGCACGAGCTTCTTTTGCGATCGTGATTACTTAATTCAGTATCTTAACACGATGTGTTGATGCGATTTCTCACATGAGAAATATGTTACTTTTTGCGTTAAAAAAAAATTAAGGATCGTTAGAGCGAGCGATCTCTGTACATAAATGCGGTGGATTCAACAGTACATGAGTTAAGATATAAATCGATGCAGAAATTACCCGATAACTGCACCCTCCCCTCGCTCTATGATACACATTATCAGATAATAATTAGGTGTTTGCAGTATATGCATTATCGTGTAAGATCACGTTATTATTACAGTCAAGTCCAATTACACGCAATCGCATGTTGAAACATCAATTTGTGCCTGCCGCCGCGCATGCCGGTTCGCGCGATCGTCGTGAACGGCTATTTCATCGAGCTCGGCATTATAAATACTGCATAATTAAGACGTATAAATAACGCGTAATCATGTACATCGTCGTTTGGTATAATTTATCGCAATTTGTACACGGTGAAGCCGTGATATTGTTTTCTTTTGCCTCTGTCGAATAATTTCTCTATCGTTCCGCAAAACCTAATATCACAAAATAATTTAATTTGCTTCCATAATACTTAACATTAAATACTAAAAAGTAGAAAAATATAATAATGCCCTGTTCTGAAATTTTAACAAAATCTTCAATCTAAATTTATTAACATTCTTGTACTTGATATTAAAGTCAAACGTTTTACGACGTTTTATTACATATATATTTGTAATCTCTTTATTTTCCAATTTTTGAAATTTTAAAAGATTTACAAGAAACCTTTATATGGGTTCATAATTGAAATTATATCTTCCAGAAAAAGTGTCTTTATGCGAAAAACTAAACCAATGTAATTTTTACTCGCAAATAATAAAACTTTATATTCACTAATTACAAATTTATTTTAAAATATGCGTTATATATTTATGTTAACTAGAATTTTTTAAAGAAACTTAGCCTGTATACATATTAACACAAGCACCGCATAAAAATTTTTTCAACCTTTAAATTTGTCATAAAAATTCATAACAAATAATCATAATAATATATGCATGCATGCGATACGGAAATACCACTTATACAAAATTCCGCGCATGGTGCCATCTCAATAACAAGAGAAAGTTGTGCTATTCTTAAAGAAAACGATCACACGCAGCCGACGGAACATCGATCAACTCCTGAGAATTAAAGATGCAACGTGTACTACCTGTCTCGTCGCCCGAAGGAAAAGGGCGATCAATGCGGATAACATCGCAAAATCGAGTACGGCGGAGAGGATCCCGTGGAAAGGGGTATTAAATACGTGACCCGACTCGTTTTATCCTTTCCGCCGTTCAGCTTCCGCCGAACCTTAAACTATTTCGCGTTAAGAGGTGTGAAATGAAACCTATCGTCGTTACAACGACCTTCATAGCGCGACTTTACCTGAAAATTTGCTATAACGCACGCGTGCTAGTAGTTTGGAGAAAGAAAATTGGAAGAAATGGAGATGCGCATCAAGTTTAACGTATCCTTATCATCGTGCAGCTAAACGGCCAGCAATCGCCAATGATCAAATAAAAAATTGTTAAGAAGCAGCGACTTTACTAATACTCAACAAACGTCGATGGTAAATAACGTCATGTTGCTATATACCAAAACTGTCTCATAACGACTTGTTTTACACATTTGCATTCTTCTAATATACGTGCTTAAACCGTTATTAACAACAGTGACAGCTTACGACATGTCTTGTTATATAAAAAGGCATATATCACTATTTTCACTTTTAATTTTTGACATGCCCACACGGAGGGAACCTTTGCTTTTTATGCGTTAGACTGCGAATAATGCGTTTTGCGTACTTTCGTAATTTGTAATCTTTAATTGTAACTATGTAAAACTTTTCGAAACTGCACTGAAGATGGTCTGAATAACAAACGTTTCAGTCGATTTATATTAAATACATATGTGAATATGTGAATATCAACACGAACACCTAGTTATGGCTCTAATGGCCAATTTCTTCACCGTCGGATAACTCTATCCTTCGGTTAACCTCACTCTTCATCTTTTTCTAAGGGGACAGTTAGAAAGAGATGAAGAGTGAGGTTAATCGAAGGATAGAGTTATCCAACGGTGAAGAAATTGGCCCTAAGCCCGTTAATTTCATTTTATTGATTTTTAATCTTTGAGCCTTTTTATATTCATTTACATTTTCTTTCTTCTTTTTTCATACGATAATTGGAGATTCTCTGGTATTAAAATGTGAGCAATCGCGAAATCGCTTTCATTTAAAGAAGAATTACTTGAAAATTATTTTTTATAAAATAACTCTGATCTATTTACATTCAAATTTAAAATAAAAAACATTTTCGAGGACAAGGTGCGTTTTTAATTAGATTTTCATGAATAGATTGAAGTCGACGATATAACATTCATACATAATATTCGCTCATTATTAATTATGGTAAACGGAATTATTCACTTGATTATGACGAGCATTGGCGATCGTATCAATAGTTTCACGTCATGCTGTGTATATAGCGTGCGCTTTATATTGTATAGTGTAATATATAATATCTCAATTATAATTATGTACATATTAATAAATATGCACAATGCAGCATTTAGACCAATTCTAAACCAATTTTAAAACATAAAGGAATATATGCAAAATTAGTTTACAATTTTTCTGGAAGCTCACCGCATATATCAATAGCAAACTTACTGCTTTATTCAACAGGGAAAATTAGCATTCTAAAACTACATTTCCAGAACTACATTTCCATTTCGATATAATTGAGAGAGTTCTAGTTCTTCTTAAAAAGCTCTAAAGTTTCTGTTAAGAAAAGAGTTTTGCCTAAAGGTACTGGGATGCCTATTTCACGTTTCCGTTATACAATTAATCAAACAATTATGTAAAAATTCTGAAAATAAGACGCTGGCTTCACTGAGATGCTTTAGGCAATTATAGTTAAACGTGCAGGTGCAGGTAGAGATATATACACAGTAGAGAATCAAAAGCACATGAATGATACACGATGCGTCACAGCCAATTAGAAAAGAGCTGAGAGGAAAAGAAAAACAAAAGGAAACTGCGAAGTAACGTTGCAGTAAAAACCGGGATAAACTGCGTCCAACTGCGTCCAACCTCTATAAATGTATCCTCCATTTTTCTCAGCATATATCTACATTACAATAGGATTATATTTTTTATTAATAAATCCGTTCTGCCAACGGAGCACCATATAATGTTTTTTTATATACAAATCTTTAACGAAGTGAATTCAGCAATATTTTAAACGACGGCGCTATTCAAATTGGAAACGTTTAAAAAGACGACATGTAAATACGATCTTTTTTACTACTGGCGTTAAATCCGTTCGACGCAATTCTCTTTCATTTACCTACTCATCAGTAAACTTCGATGTCCGCATGCATTATTATTAACTTTTATTCGCAACTTTAAATTCATGAACGTCATCTAACTTGGTTATTTTTTATCACATTTTTTTTCAAGCACAATCTACATATTTATATCTTTCAAAGTTTACTTAATATTAAACAAATGTAACAGGAAAAGCAATTCTCATTTTCATTTTACGGTTTCACGGTTTCTAACAATTTTGTATACATATATGCATGTATATAATACATATTATAATAATACATTCGACAACATAGGACGAATAATATTCTTGACGCGCTAAGTTCAAAAATTCCATCTCAAAATTCTTATGTAATATTTATAAGAAAAAGATATAAATATAATATTTGTTCGGGTACATCATTCGCGCGCAGCGCGATATTCTTGTCGGGTATGTTCGTGTCATTTTCACAACCGTCTATCGTTCCGACTTTTACTCCAGATTTTCACGATACATCCGACCGCGTGTAACGCGTACGTGAAATATATATAATATTTGGAATTTTCTAGGGAATTTAGCGGCAACGCTCGTGATAAATATCACATTTCGCTGAGCGAACCAGCTGACGGGGGGGGGGGGAAGGGAGAGAGAGATTCCATTCGAATTCATACCGGTCGTACGTATATCCGGCTTTACGATCCTCCCGGCGCGGCGCGAAAAGTTCGCGAGCGTGCATCACCCGGCGCGGCGGGGGTGAAAAATCGCGAGGCATTCGAAAGGCGGGCGATGACATCGCGCTCGACGATTTGCGCTCGAGGGGATACATGCCGCGTGAAATTCATTTGACGCGCCATAACGCAATTCGATCGGCGAACCGGAGACAATGCCAATTATCCATGCGAACTTCGCGCGATGCGATAAATATAGCCCGTTAAATGTTCCATTTACCTGTCATACGATTGAAATACACGAGACAAAGTCTGATTATAGGTTTCACGCAAAACCTTCGTATTATTGACAGAGGCACTTATTAAACAGATTTGATCTTTAGTTATCCATATTTAGATATTCTCAAAGAAAATCTCTTAAATTATTTTATATAACGATTGATATTGTATCAGACGATTTAAAAACGTTTCCTCCACTTTATATTGCCTTCAGATAAAAGTTTCCTTTTTATCTCAATTTATTTATTTTTAAATAAAAACAGAATAAAAAAGCTAAGCTCCAGTTATGAAAAAATAATTCAAGAAGATATTTACACAATATTATGCATCCAAGATTATTAAATTCATGCAGATATTTTTGACAATATGTCACTTACTATTCGGGTCGTGTATCCAACGTTTCTTGTCTCCAACTTTCATTATGCGGGGGTCATCCTGAAAATAAGAAAGTTGACATGTTAGAAAAGGTCAATTTCACATTCACCTATACGCTGCTTAAATCTTATTTTTGGATATAATGGGACACACGCAAACATATGGACTCGTTGAAGGTCGTTATTTTCGCATCGTCACGAAATCAAGGGTAAGTGGCGTTTTGCGCCAAAATGCAGTTCGATTGATACGGTACGAAAGCTACCGGTACGAATATATACGTATGCACGTGAATAGAGAATATGACGAACGATCGTTCGTCACGTGCACGAAATTCAGGGTTGCCCGATGAAATAAGAACGCGTAATCCGTGTGCTCGAAGTTCAGGCCGAGGTCAGAGGTAAAAAGAGAATGGGGTGAAACGTAGTTCGAAGGGGAACGAGCTTGCGAGTTAGGCTCGCGTGATAGTTCACGTGCTAGTTTGCAACACATACTTACACAAAATTCGCAGATAATATCTATAAAATACCAATGGGAGAATACATGAAATGTAGGTTGCTGACCACGCTCTGAGAATCGACCGTAAGTTACTTTATAGGCTAGACAAAATGACGCAGTCAAATCAATTAAAGAAAGAATACTTGAGCTATTACGAAGTCACAAATATTCTTTGATCGATATCGACGCTATATAAATAGCATCGCGCGACAATCATCGCATGCATGGAATTATCGAAGAATCAGAATATGTGTATATATATATATATATGTGTGTATAAAATCTACATCAAGATACTCATAATTTCATAAGTCATAAAATTACAGTTTCTAAATATAAAGATCCTAAAATTTAAATTATAGATTATTTAAAATTTAGATTTTTATATTTCTTTTCTAATAAAACATGACAAAACGCCGGGATACATATACTTTACAACAGATTTCAATATGTAATTCTGTTATTTGATCTAACACATATTTCATTAAGCTAAATTTTATTCTTATTCATAATATATTTTAACGCGCATTTAATAATTTTTCATCATTCTTTTTTTAATTTAGCGTTCTTATTAAAACTACGGCTTTGCATTATAAACCGTCCAGCAAAATATTAAAATACGTAGTAACTTTATATTTTTATGCCATTGTTATTAAAGATAAAAAGTATTACGAAAAAAAAATTATGATATCGTACGCTTTCTCTGAGAAAATACACAAGCATTTTTTGCATATACTTTTACGCGCAGAGAAAAGGCAAAACTAATTATAAGAAGAACATACAGAATTCATACACATTACGTAAATATTTATTTCCTGGTTGGTTTCTCTTGATTCTTCGCAAGGCAGATTAATTTTTTTTTAACACACCTTGCATGCGACATGTGTGCACGCACGTATGTCGTGTAATTTGTACATTTTATATGTAACTTTCAAGATGAGTTTTCGGGAGCAAACTGTGGCTTCTTTTACACGCGCGACAAAGACAATTATAAAACTTCGATTGGAACCGAATGGATCAAAAAACATTTCGTAGGTGCAAAATAGACCGGGCGCGATCACAAAGTATCGCTGCTTCCCTCTAATTGCACGGTGACGTCCATTTCTGTGGGATTACCGGAGTAGAACCGCGACAGAGGAAGTGCGGCGGGCTGCGCTTCGCGAAAATAAATGGCACGTATAACACGGCGCCGAACGTTACCCCGAATAAATTGCCGCTGTAACCAGCTGTACGGTTCGCGCGAGAAAGCATCGGCAACGAGAAATGAAAACACACGCGCGGCGACGCGTTATTTCGCAGCAAAAATGATCGCGCGAGATATGAAGAGTCTTTCGTTGGCCGACAAGAGGAGGAGAGGAAGGGGGAGAGTCTGACGAAATAGTCCTACGAAAATAAAAGCTGCGGTGCGCGCTGTTATGAAATTACGAGCTCTATGAAAAACAGAATCATCGAGTATCGGATATGGATACTCGTTGCGTCGCGTTTTAACGTATCGCGGGTGTAACGGGGTACACGCGGGGCGGTGATGTTTCGCGACAACTGAAAAAATGGATAGGAGTGACTCGGTTGTCATCGGCGGCCGCCAATGAATCGGAAAGAACGTCGGAGAATTACGTCTGATTTTTGGGAAAAATTGGTCGGGAGACCAACGTAATTTTTTCGAATTTTTAGCGGCCGTCGTAAACCCGGCACGATAAATCGCGAATAAAATTTCTCTCAGTCGACGGATGTACGACCTAACGTCCTACTTTATTCCTGCGGACTACGTCTAACAAATAGTCCACTGCTTTATGAAGCTGTCACCTGGTCTCTTCACTGCTGCGCTGTTTTATCGGCCCTCATACGAAATGTTTAGTAGAGTGGAACGGGTTAAAAATCGCGGTGCAGCGCGATTCACACAATTTCACCGACAGTTGCCTTCGTTTTGTTTAAACAACTGTCTGTTTTTAACTTTTTCAGATTTTAATCATACTCGTTTTTAATAATTAATTGCTAATAAAATTGTAGCATTAAAATATATATCTAATGTTAATAAAATATATAGATATATATAATCTCTTTTTTTTTATTACATTCTATTATAGCTTATTGTCATAGTCACAGTCTATTTTTCATCATCAAAAAATAATTTTTATGTGTATGTATGTATTATCTGACTTATTTAAATTTTGCTGCATAAAATTTTCAATATAAAGTGATATTATACGTACCTACATTTAATAATGTATCGAATAAGAACATTACAATAAAATCTTTTTTATTGTAAAAGATATCAAAAGTACCTCGTTCCAATATGCATTATTCTTTATTTTCTTCGAAAAAAAAATGTGTATGTGTGTGTAAATTATGCAATTTTAATGTCATATCTTAATTTAATAATAAAGTTATTAAAAAATAACAAATTTATTCTACTCTGATTGCGTAATTTTGGTTAATGTAATATTACGTCGTTTCACGAATACCTTATTGTCTAATTTCTAGTCTACGGTAAAAGGGCATTGTAGAATCTACCCAGTAAATAAAATATACACCTGCAGTCTGGTTGCTCGGAGACCGGGCGAATTTGCCGACAAATAGAAAAACTGCGGCGAATTCCGGCTTTTACCGTTGTTAAATTTATCGAATTGCCGGATAAAGCTGAAAAACGGGCGGAAAATGCTAAAAAAAAAAAGAGCGAGAGAAAGAGAGAGGAGGTGCAACCCGAAAAGTCGCCTTACCGCGCGGACCGGTGCGCGCGGAAAATAGAACGCGTACCCATTTGAGAGAGAATATTGTTGTCGTAAAGAGTTTTATAACGCGTCGTAAGTGTATTAACCTACGTCTCAAAGGATGCCGCCATAAAACCGCGATCGTTTCTACAGACAACATATCCTTAAGATTTATCTGCAGCTTGGAAAAAATAAAGAATTTCGCTACACGACGTGTCAGCCCCACGTATACGCCCTACGTATACGCACCGATACGTGCGCAATATTTATTACAAATATTTATTTATTGATTTAGATGATACGTATGATTAATCGCGCTATTTATAATCCGATATTCAGTTTATATTTCTATTCCACTGCGATATCGATGTACGCCACCTTGTAATTTCCGCTATTTGTATTTGTATATCTAATAAATTGCTGTAGTAAATACACCGTGGGATACAACCCACATATTTATTCTGGAAATGCGACGGGCTTTAACGAACTGTTTTTATACGGGCTACACCACACAGGATGAGATAGAGACAAATATGCAATGTTGCAACGGGCGAGGACCCAAGGTTAATGCTACAAAATAACAGGAAATATAAACTGTTATCTTTTTTTGCAATTATATAAACGCAATGCACAAACATGAAATTTCTCTTAAGCTCCTTATATGACGTATGAATATGTCATTAGCGTTGAATCTCATAGGCGTGCATATATAGGTACCTAAAATTTTAAAGACAACTTATATGTCCGTTGGACGCCATTAGACGTCTGCTCGTTCTGCAGATAATATTACGCGTTGTCGCAATAAACGGTGCCGCGATGCGCGCAAGATACGATATGCGAGAGAAATAAATGTCCGACTCGTAGCTAGTCGCATTTTGCCAAGTGCAACAAGGCTGGCTTTCCGTGCACCGCGTTCATTAACAAAATGTAGGCGTCTACTGACAACTGTATCTCTCTCTCTCTCTCTCTCTCTCTCTCGCGCGCGCGCACGGAACCGGTAACCGCATGCATCTGCGCGAATGCATAACCGCTCGCTTTGTAATTCCGTTACTCTCCAGCCGGAATAATTCGCCACTTTTCCTCGCACATGGCTACATATAAATTATTAGCGGCCGCCGAAACGGCCTTTGAAGTTTGCGAAGCTTATACATTTGGACAGGAACGGCGTAAACCGTGAGACGAACGAAATTAAATCAGTTGAAACTGAACAAGCTTTTCACCTCGGTGTCACTATCTCCATCTAAATCTCATATATGCGATATATATTTTATAATAGCCGTATACGTATTTTATACAATTATGTAAAATCGAAGAGCCAGAGCTGCCTTTAGTCCATTCGAATACTACGGCGAGCTATCAGATTCCACCTGAAAATTGCCAATAGCACCGCAATCAATCGTGGTACGATTGTGCACCGTCCATATATAGTATTTTATTGTTACGAGCCGACTAGAGATTAATAAATCGCATTTATCTTCTAGCGCATATATTGTATAATTTTAATAATATTAAATTATATATAAAACTACGTGGAAACAGAAATAGAAAAACGCGGATTGCGTTAATTAAACAATTTCATAAATCACAACAAAGCGTTGGTAACTTTAGAAATCTTTTAGTCAATGATTTTAAGGAAGAAAAGAGAAAAATAGATGATAATTTTCAAATAGAAAACGAAAAATTGATATATCGCTCATTGATACGATTAATTAATGTTATACACAGTTTTTGTCTTCGTAAATACAAAAGTATAAAATGTTAAATGTTTGTATTACCTAATCTTTGACAATCTTTATGTTAACCGATTTATTATTATACCAAGCTTTGCATCGAATAATTTCACGTATAGAGTACCTT